AAAAACATATCGTTGTTAAAATCTCCAAATACTGATTTTACCTTGGGACAAAATTATGATTCATCATTTGTGGGTGGAGCTGTGTGAGACGGTCCACCTTAACGCCAGCTCACGATGTTTGCCACCAGGGGGTGTGGCTTTAAATAGTTTATCATTTAGTACTTCATTAACAATGGTTCAGTCACTGTAGAGCCATCATGGAGCCACAGCAACATATACTTCAGTGATTTATTTCACTGATATTCACTAAAGGAGAAAGTCAAATCAGTTGTCACGCTACCATTTTCCCTTCACACGTCTACACAGCGGAGTCTGGTACCTGATGGCAGGACGCTGCTTCCCAGGGGAGGAGTCGGATGAAGAACTGCATCTGCTTCTGTAGAGCGGGTCTAACAACAAAGTGGACTCTTCATTATTGATTAATCTGGTGATTTGTTTTACTGGTTGATTCATTAAGTAAAAAGGTTACATGTGCCCAGTATAAATTTTGAACAGTTGTCAGACCAACTTAACCTAAAAATAACATTATGTTGTTATTTACAATGATATGAAGTGAAACAGTAGATTCTTACATTAGAGAAGCTGCAACCAACACATCCTTCAGTTTTTCTTTTTTATGAATTAAACAAAAAAATCTTGTCAATTTTTAAATCAAATTTCATTTGATTTACTACTGCCAGGCAGACATGGGAGACTGAATAACGCACCAAAGGAACAGCAGAAGGAAACATAACAGGAACATAAACCTAGGATGCTTTACTTTCTGGCCGACAGCAGGTTGATTCTGGCGGCTTCGATCTCCATCTCCCTGAACATGATGACGAACGTCTGGACGATCAGTGTGCTCAGTCTGAAGACAAGCAGCGGCCCAGTGTTAGTGCCCGAACCTTCACAGTGCACACGTCAGCTACAGTGGCAGGTTTAGAGACTTATGACCAGGGGAGTGGGCACAGACTCAAAGAAGAGGGCACATTTGTAAAATGAATAAGAATGTGTTACAGCCCCGATGAACAGTACAATATTAATATCAGTAAAAACAAAGCAGCTGACAGCCCGACTGTGCTACAGGTCTCAGATCAGACACACCTATAGTCACACCAGTGCTGCCTCTCTCTTCAGCATGGTTAAATAAAGGTTAAATGAATGACTCCCTCCCTCACTCTCTCTCTCTCTCTCTCTCTCTCTCACACACACACTGAAGCTTACAGCAGCTGATCCGCTGTGTAGACTCCACCGTGGCTCCGACAGCCTTGAAGAGTCTCCTCTAGAGTCTGAACCAGGAACACACACACCTCACTGGACTGAAACAGAGCAAACAGAGAAACTCTTCACCCAACAGCACCGTACTTCCTCTGTGCGTCTCTGTGAGGACACTGGTTGTCGCTGCTCTGACAGGCTGCGAGACTGAAGTCTTGATCCCCACCTGGTGACGGCGCACCACCTGTACTGAGGTACTGGTGACGGTGCGCCACCTGTACTGGATGAGGGTGACGAGTGGATTACGATTGGTCAGTGTTATGCCCGTGTGACTTCAGTTTGGAGAAAGCTTTGGGAACCCACACTGTTCTTGAACTCGACGCACCCACAGTGGAAGGAGGGAAGGCTGAGTGAGTTACAATAAGCGGGAGCAAATGATGATAGTAATGGGCGATATTTATTTTACTGAGGGGGAAGAGGTGTGTCAGCCAGGTCCCACTCCTGAACTTCAGATTTAATCTCTCCATATAAAAGCTTAATCTGTAAAGTAACTAGTGCCACAGCTTTCAAATCATTGTGGCCATGTCAAAAGTCAAAGTCTAAAGTAACTGGTATAAGATGCAGAAACACGAGCCCAGACGTGTGTGGGTGAAATGTAAAGCCGCTA